TTGAGGGAGAAACTCACCTATTGCTGCTGACCTTACACTGTGGTTGAGCATGACCATCATGGAGTGTGTGAGCGACTCGTGAGAAAAACCAACAGTAGTTCCAATATTAGTGGCATCAGAAATCCATTAACTTGAATGTTGAACAATGACGGGATAAGACGCCAAATGCCATGGATAACGTGAAATTCCCAAACCTTGCAGTAGTCATGGGTGAAAACACCTGAAACCCACCCGTAATCGCAAAACCATTATGTGGGAAAGCATTTCTATTTGGAGTAGAGCTGTTTTGGGTCTCTATACCATTTAACAAGAGGAATCTCTATTCTAGGAATGTACTTAGACCTTAGGATCAGTAGATTTCTTCCCCCTTCCATATGAAGGAACCATCTTGTCCTCCACGATGAAGGCTTTAACTGGAATGGAAAGATGGACATTGAGTGGTGCAGGCCAGTGAAGTTTTCTGGTGATGTAAATGAAGAGGAAGTGGGGAAGGAAAGTGCTTTGGTGAGTGTAGATTTAGATTTGAATCTAGTATAGGTTTGCAAGGAGAAGCAAAAGAAAACACATGGAATTGAGTTTGATATGGGGTAAAAGATGAAAACTTGAAGGAATGGCTGGAAAAAAAAGTAGTTATCAAGTGTCTGGAAGTAAACTCCATATTTTCCGGAAAAACATGCTCAAATTCGGGTGGGAGAAACGCAACCTACCATCTCAGCTAGTCGTGTCTGATAGACCCATTTTACATAGACTTCCGGTGGTCAATAGGTCAATTCATTGTCTCAGTTAAGACTTCTTAACTGAAAACATTTTTTACAAATTAAAGGGGTCATTTATGTATGTATATGTGTCTCTTTCTATTGTTTTCCAAATTATCGACCTTGAGAAAAATAGCATATTTTGTTTCTCTTATGATAATTGAGTTCAAGTACAAGAGTACAGAAATTAGAAGTTCCCAAAAGGAAAACGAAACAAAGGAGAAGAAGTTGGTAACACCAATGAATGATAGTAATAGCATATATATATATAATATATGAGTTTCACTGTGCTGCATCGATTTTTGGTATCAGATCTCGAGTTTCTGCTTCATAGCTCTTGTAAGTGCTCTTGGCCTCAAGTTCCATATAAATCACCCAGCCTAACTAAGTAGGAATTTGGACAAATATTTGGTGGTTGAAGTTGAAACAAAAGAGTATTTGAAACTGAAGTTGAAAAAGAGTATTTAGAAGTAGAATTTTAAGTATTCTTACCCAACTTCCGAATAAAAAATAAATAAATATTGTTTCAAATACCATTAACACCCCGAATCATTAGTTTTTGTGGGCTTAATTGCATCAAATATGTGATTGGTATTGAAACACTGGGAGTAACTAGCCTTCCAGCTAAAAGGAGAAAAACGGTTCTCCCAAGTGTGATAGTTGGATACTATTTTCTTCATGCCAATCTCATCCGGATTCAATCATATAGGGATGGAAGGGGTACTAAAAATAAAGGACTTGTTTTGTTTTTGTGAACATTTTTTGGAAAGAACAGCCGATCATTGTCATTGTGGACTGTAGTTTGTCCAACAGATTGTGTACTAAACTGAGAAGCAAGGTTTTTCATAGAATCAACCGATGGGGGATGACTCGCCTTATTGGTTGACTAAATTTTAAGCCATTGGAAGTCTGTTCTTTCTCTCTGATGCGCAATCGAATGCCTGACCCGGAGAGCGAGAGAGAGTGGGATCTGAACTGTATATCTGATTAAAAATTGGTCTGATAAAATACTGTGAACAGACAATATTGATAGGTCCATCTCGAGATTACCTGGAATGTGAAGTTTTTTGATTGTCGTGTTGTTTTATGATTATCTTCTGCAGGCTGAGTGTGAAGAGCTACAACTTAAGGTAGAGACATTGAGCAATGAGAATCATGGACTCAAAGAGGAGTTGCGAAAGGTCTCTGAGGAATGTGAGAAGCTTACCTCGGAGAATAATTCAATAAAGGTAAAAACTACTTGAGCATCTTTTCCCTTCTCCCGTCTGTATTCGTGTATGCTTATCTCATTTGCCCTCACTTCTAAGTAAATTCTAAAGTTTCCATCCTTTCCCCTTTTTACCCTGGGCTTTTAGTTTTTTATCTTGTGTTCGCACGGAATTGTTGATCAATATTAAAAAAATTGGTACTCACAGTTCTGAGAAAATTTTCTGTTGTTTCTTTTTCTCTGTATGTTTGTCCTTTTAATCCATCTAAGCAATACGAGAAAGATGGAAATACTGATTCTTACTGGGACCTGATTCTGAAACAGGATGAGTTGACGAGGTTGTATGGGCCAGAGGATGTGTCCAAGCTAGAGAGTAATGCCAACGCCATGCGTCTTCAGTCCAATGTTGAGGAAGCTAAGAGTTGAGGACAAGCCATGACAGAGTAGCTTATTTTGGTTTAAATGCTCACAAATCTCTTACTGCCCGTGAGAAATCTATAGCTTTTACTGTGCGTTAGAAGTAGAAATCTCTGTTTTTCTACTAATTTATGCCCTTTTTAACCCTTTTGAGTGAAATTTATAACATTAATTCTTGGATTTTTAACCCAGGGTTGAATCTGAATCTATGACAACATTGTAAAAGTAACTGAATAACTTGATCTTAGACCATTAAGTATTCTGGTGACTTGGATTGTCTTCTATCTTGCTTTGTTTGTTTGTTTGTTTGTTATGTTTTCAAAAGTTGGGAAATTTTTTGCATCCGATAAGTCCAAAATATCTCCTTATTAGCCAGTGCTGCCAATCCTACTGAGGACTTTATGGATTTCTTTTTCGGGAAGACAAGGAATGAGTGGAAACTATGTTGATATTGTCGTCATAGTCTAAGTTCCTGCTTTCAACAAGACTTTCTTAGCTTGTCAAATTCTCTGTCCTTCACCAGGAAAGTATCTTATAGGCAAGATCTTTGAGTATGTTCTATTTTTCGGAACCCTTCAAGATGAAGATTGACTATCATCCCTTACAGTACCACCATTGAAGCTCCCTTGGAGTGAGTCTTTGTTTTTTGCGGGATTTAGAGATTCCTATCTTTTACTTTTCTCAATTAAACACCACTGTAGTGGAGTTTGATAGAAATATCTACCACATTTTGAGGAGAAGATCACCTCTTTTTTAAAAATTTAAGTAGCCAATTTTGAATCACCAATCCTTACAACACTCTCCAACATAGCTTGGTTGACTATGGATGTTATATATCATTAAAGAATGAAAAAGAAGCAAGTCGGCTCACACGTGATGAACGTGATGAAAGTAATTAAAAGTGTGTTATGTTTCTAACAACTTGAAGTTTTCTGATGAAGTGATCATACGCTCCATCGTAAAATACAATTTAAATCTCATTACAATACAATTATTTATTTGTGAACCCAATTAACTGAAGTTAGTTAATGTTGGAATTTTTCTCCTAAAATGTAACGTATGTTGACTAAGGATAAGCTTGATCCTCATCAAAATATTGAATTCTGTTTTTTTGGTCTTAGTCAGCCAGTAAGCAAATATAAATAAAATGGGACATGGAATGGACCACATCCCAAGAAATGTACACGACTTGTAGATCAAACAAGAAGACAACTTTACTGTTGCTTCAAGACTCCACACAAAAGCGAATAAATAGTTCTAACAAAAATGTCCCAGTGGAAAAGAACATGAGGTGAAGGGGGATGATTTTAACACTTGAATGCAAAAAAGAATCCCAACTTTATTAAGCCATGTGATTGCTACCAAAACAAGAATATAAACGACAAGAATACAGCATAAACTTAGAAGAAAATTAACATATTAATTCAAATGAAATTTGAGAAAATAGTATAGAAACATTGCATCAGATCCTTTCCTTTTTAATGTCAAAGCTGAAAATTGGCCCAGGAAACCACTTTCTCTTCATCCTTTCTATCTTATGTCCTATCACTATTAAACGCCTCGGTCCAGCTACTTTCTTTAGTCATTCATATTCGGAATTCACCCAACCGACTATTAGATTCTTTTAATATTTTTAGTCTCGTGTTAAATAGGTCCACTAAAAAAAAAGAATAACTCGCATCCTATCAAGAAGTTCTCAATTCCTTGCATTTTCACCTCCACGTCATGTAGGTTCATTAAAAAAATATAGCACTTCCTATCAAAAGGTTCTCAAGGCATTTTCAGGTCCGGATTTAAATCATTGCCACTTTTACCAATTGTGAAAGATTTTTTCCCTACCCCACACCCAAATACCCTTCTTTTATCTATAATTTCCCTCAACTTCTCAACAAAAAAAATAAACACTTATGTCACTTCAAGGCTCAAGCCTGTTGGCTAAATTTATTGGTTTTTAATGATTCAGCACACCAACAATAACTTTATAGAGTATTTTTAACCTAGGGCTAGATAGGTGGCATTCACTCTCTCTATTCCTACCTTGCATTCTTAATGCCATGAAGCACTCTTCTAGTTCTAGGTACCTAATTTAATATTCCTTCTGTTTCAATTCATGAAATTCAAGAAAGTATTGAAGATTTTTGAATCTTCTGATTTTAAATTAAAGATGTATAGAATGTATCAAAGATATATTTTATCTTTTGATCTTAAACATGCTACATGAAAAATTAAAAGGCATAAACACGTCTTTTAACTTGACCTCATATGACATCTATACCCTCCAACTATGGGTGTGCATAATAGGCACTAAAACTTGTATAGAGTTCAACAAATTGACACACATCCTACTCAGCATCGATTCGCATTCTAGTAACGTCCTACATGTCTATTTTTATTTAACTTTATATAAATTTAAATGTCTACTTGTGCACACCCAAAGTTGAAAAACATAGATGCCAACTAAGACAAAGTTAAAAGACATGTATGTGTTATATCAAGTTAGAACTAAAAAAAATACTATTAAAAAAAGGTAAAAAGACATTTTTAAACAACGAATTTAAAAAAATAAACAAATATTTCAGATAGAGGGAGTAAAACATATTTTAACCGTGCGCAAACTATCACTTTTTACACTTCAATTAAATAAATATAATTGCTTCCTTTATAATAAATTAAAGAGTAGAAAAGTTTATACAGAGAGTAGGAGTTTCTTCTATATTACAACAACAAAGACGTTTTCTCCCTACACTAATGGGCTTTGCCAAATTGTCAACTAAAGCTTCATGGTCCTTCACATTTGGTATCATGAACTTCTTCCAAACTCCTTCCCACAAAATTCTCCACTGTCAAACGGTCCTGCTGCCGCAGCCACATCTAGATTACCGCCCATTGATGTTATTAGAGCGGATAATCCAGGTGTTGAGCCTCCACCAGCTGCCATCCCCAGTCCAAGAAGGTCAAGAGTAGGATGTTTGGGACCGAAAACAGAGGGAGTTCCCAACATCAGTTCCTTTAGACCAGAGCCATCATCACATGGCAATCCAAGGCCAAGGCCTGCAGCCAACGTTGCACCATCAGTGTCAATTTGTCTCCCATTCCATTCGTGTTGCCCACTAGATGATGAAGAAGAAGATAATATCCCAAGACCCCTCAACAATGATGAGTTTGTCGCTGTTGCACCCATCTGAGCAGCCTTCTGCAGTAATGCTGTTGCAGACATGGATGGTTGTGGTGCTGCAGCATACTGAATTCTCTCTTGCCCAGCTGGTCCAAAGACTGATGAACTATGATTCATGGCAAGGCAGAGAGATATTGGTTCCATAGATGATGGTGGTTCTATATCAGGTGGTGGTGCAGGAGCCACGGACTGAAACCAATCCGTAAATTGAGGTGCTTGAGACGGCAAACTTCCTGAAGCTGTTGATGAAGCAAATAAGCTTGCAAAAGTGCTGTTGCTGGCACTTCTGTTGCTGCTCGAGTTACTACTGCTGCTACAGATTCCAGTCAAGCTTGTAAAAATGCTGCTGCCGCTGGTACTTCTGTTACAGCTCGAGCTACTGCTGTTGCTATAGATTCCAGTTGAACTTGCAAAAATGCTGCTGCCGCTACAGATTCCAGTTGAACTTGGAAATATACTGCTGCTACAGATTCCAGTTGAACTTGAAAATATGCTGCTGCCGCTACAGATTCCAGTTGAACTTGGAAATATACTGCTGCTACAGATTCCAGTTGAACTTGAAAATATGCTGCTGCCGCTACAGATTCCAGTTGAACTTGGAAATATACTGCTGCTACAGATTCCAGTTGAACTTGAAAATATGCTGCTGCCGCTACAGATTCCAGTTGAACTTGGAAATATACTGCTGCTACAGATTCCAGTTGAACTTGAAAATATGCTGCTGCTGTGGGTACTTCCATTACTGCTTGAGCTCCTACTATTGCTACATATTCCAGACAAGCTTGGGAAAACGCTGATGCTGCCAGTACTTCCATTACTGCTCGAGCTCCTAGTGCTGCCACAGATTCCAGTCAAGCTTGGAAAAATGCTGCTGCTGCTGGTACTTCCATTACTGCTTGAGCTCCAACTGCTGCTGCAGATTCCAGTCAAGCTTGTAAAACAGTTGCTGTTGGTACATCCGGTGCATGAGCTACTACTGCAGATTCCAGACAAGCTTGATTTTGCTGTTGTTTCTTCTATATCCTGTTTAGTAATAGTTCCATTGGAATTTGTGTGTGGACTCTCTGCCAAATTGTAACAATTATAGTAAGACAGAAAGAAACAACTCATATAAACAAGCAGTGAAAGTTAAGCTTTTGATATAAAAGATTAGTAGAAGTGATGACACATGTTAGAATTCTTTAAGTTGTGCTATGTTTCCTTTACCTTACCCAAAGTTTTTTCAGATTGGAAATGTTACTTTTCTATTTTTTTGTTTATTCTCTTTATGCCTATATTTACATACTTCTGTTTCTACAATTTGAACTTTGTTCAGATAAAGGATCACTTGGGCGTTTGGACATCAGTAGGTCGAGATATGAAAAAAAGTAGTATTTGAAGTTGAAGTTGAAAAGAGTATTTGGAAATTGAATCAAGTGTTTGGACAAGAAAACAAGTTGAATTTTAGTGAGTGAAAACTTGAAAAAGACTCCAAAAACTGTTTTTCAAGTTAGAAGTTGAAATAATGGCCCAGATTGATAAGCAAACACTTATTTAACATAGTCTAATGAGGAATACAGATAACAACAAGAATCAATAGATGACAAAAGTTCTTGATAAAATATCATTAACTGACAAAACAAGCAAGACTCCAAAACAAAGAAAGAACAAAGTCTCCTGTCTGTTCTTAACAAACACACATATCAGATAAACTACAAATCCAGATTTTCAAACTAGTTAAAAATTGAACTTCAAAATGTACCTGGATTCTGGATGGGAGAATCAGAAGACACTACAGCAGTTGACGGAGAAACAGGAGGTGGTAGAGGCTCCAGGGCAGCTGGTGAAGGAACGGCTGGCGGCTCCAAGGATGGTGGGGGCGTAGGAGGTGTTTGTGGTGTTGATGAAACAACAACTTGAACTTTATGGTCCTCATCAGCAATAGGAGTTGTAACTGCATTCTGTGCTTTCTCAGTATCTTTTGCTAAAACATCACAAAATGCCCTGTGTGTGATAAAGCTATCCCTCCTATATATTATTAACAAAGATATCAGCTTTACAATAAAGAGAGATTAGCAATCAAAAGGGCATCAAGAATGGACCTTGAAAACATAGTCCCACAATCACATTTATACTCTTTAGTTCCACAAATCTTCAAATGAGCCTTCAAATCAGACTGAACTGCATACTTTTTTGAGCACTTATCACATTTCCACTTCTTCTCACCGTGTTTCCTACAAAAATGCTTCTTGATCCCAGTCAAATCCCCTAATGCCCGTGAAGGATCATGGTGAACACACGTAAGTTCGGGGCAAACATACACTCTCTTCCTCACCTCATTGCTTGCTCTCTGCCTTAGCTTCCAAGGCAGATTGTGACCTCTTCTATGAAGCTGCAAATTCTGGTCTCTCTGAAACCCTTTGTTGCAAATTTCACACACAAATCGGTTCGTTGCCAATAGAGTTTTCGGTGACAAAGCTACCACTTCCGCATTAGGATCTAATCAAAGGATAATAGAAAAGCCCCAAAAATCAATTTTCTGCTGAAATAGAAATCTGGGTTCTTAAACAAAATGGATTTAAATAACTAAACCCTAACTAATTTGAAAGCTAACCATAGTAGTCGTATTCATTAGAAATTGCAAATTAAAATTAAAATTAATTTACCTGGCATTCCAGGGAGATTCCGTTTTTTCTTTGCTGCTTCTTTACAAGGAGCTGCCTGCTCACCAGAAGACAATACACTCACTTCACCAGAGCCCGCGCAATCATTCATGGCGGATGAAATAGAATTCTTCTAGGGTTTATCTAGTGCCTAAAATGTAAAAATCTAGAGCATTTCTACTTAAGAAACTTTCTACTCGCTTCTTTTTGCGAATCTACCATTCAATATTGCTTTCTGTACCCAACTAGTATCTCTGAACAAAGTTCTGATTCTTCTGAACACAAGTTCAGACTAGCTAATTAGCAAAACCAGCTCAAAGCTAAGTAGATAAGCAAAACCCAGATACCAAAATTGGCAAGAAATCACTCACCGGCGAAAAAAATAAAAAAATAAATTCAAATTAATGCAAATGGGATTTGCTAAAATGGAAAGACGCCACTCAAATTAGTGAGTTCCCGGGTAAGATTCACCTACAATACTCAAATCTTCACTTGTATTACAACAATAAGAGAAGTAAGTCGAAACTCCGGATCGGAAAAAGGTGAAAATGGGGGATTTTGGGTGGTCGGCGGCAAGGAAACTAGAGAGAGAAAGGGGAAATTTGAGTATGCAAAGTCTTGTATGTTACTAGTGTTTTCACTCTTTTAACTTTTCAGAACATGTGGACATTTTAAGAAATAATAAAAAAAAAATTGCAAAGTGTTTTCGTGTCCTATTTCATGCCATGATATTTGGCACTTTAGTATTATCTTATTCATAAAATTCTAAATATATATATATA